AAGCCACCTCAACTGGCTCCTGTCGACGTGGAGGAGCAGCGGGTCTACTCCAAGCCACTCCAGGATGAGCATGCTTCTCACCCTATCTCTAAGGGAGAGCCCAGCCTCCCTGCAGAGAAAACTCATTTTAATGAACAAGTGACGAACCTGGGTGTGATTTTGGACTCTGAGCTGACTTTCATCCCGCACATTAAAAACATGAAAAAAATTGTTTTTTATCATCTAAAGAACATCGCCAGGGTCCGCACCATTCTCTCTTGGGCCAATCCGGAGAGGCTGATGCTTTTATCACCAGTAGGATAGACTACTGTAATGCCCTGCTTTCTGGTCTTCCCAAAAAGCATCTCAGGTATACAACTTATACAAAACGAGGCAGCACGTGTCCTGATGAAGACCAGGAGGTGGGAGCACATGACACCAGTATTCCAATAATTGCATTGGCTCCCCGTATGTTTCAGGATCAATTTGAAGGTTCTTCTAATGGTTTTTAAGTGTCTTAACGGTCTTGGGCCTTCTTATCTCTCAGAATTGCTTTTACCATATGAATCCTCACAACCTCTGCGCTCCTCTGGCAGGCGTCTCCTGGTCATCCCTAAAGTCAGGACACACACTCACGGTGAGACGTCCTTCCAGTGTTACGGCCCTCGCCTCTGGAACGAGCTGCCAGAGGACCTCAGGCCCGCACTGAATGTTCATGGTTTTAAGACCAGGCTCAAGACTCGCCTATCTAGGTTAGCTTTTAACTAATTATTTATTATGGTGTTATTACTCGTTTACATGATTATATTTTAGCCCAGTTTCATTATTTAATTGTAATACCGTACATCCTCTAATACAGGCCCGGGCCTGTATTTGACTCAAGCTCACCAAGCTCCAGGCCTTTATTGGAAGGAGGACCAGAATTAGAGACAGGCCTCAATTTCTATTTGAGCAAAATGAACTAATGGTTCGCTGGAGTTTTTGACAATTAAAATTGCGTCCACATTTTCAAAGTTAAACACATTTCTTTTAACAACGGTAGTTTCTGCTTCAGCCCTCTCCCCCCTCCCCCTGTTTCAGCCCTCTCCCCCCTCCCCCTGTTTCAGCCCTCTCCCCCCTCCCCCTGCTTCAGCCCTCTCCCCCCTCCCCCTGCGCAGCGGCCGCAAACTCACTGATGCGCCTGCAGCCTCTCGGAGTTCCTGCTGCTCTAAACATTAAAATAATTATTTCATTTTCTGTTCTTCACTTCTGATTACCTTCAATGGTGTCTGTTTGTTGCAACCAGCAGGTACAAAAACTAACTTGTTTTTATTTGACTATTTTTCTGACCTGTCTGTTTATTATCTTCCTGCATCTCCTCTCAATCCTAAAGAGAAACTGCTACCTGGGTTCATATATATTCACCTCATGAGTTACCTTTGAACTGCAGTTCTAAAAGATCTACCGACCGCAAAAACAGTGGAGTGCCGCTGCTCGCCGGCCGCATCAGTGAGGTGGGTCACTGGAGGACAAAACAGGTGATGCGCCCCGCTCCACAGCAGCGAAACGCATCAGGCACACATAAAAGAATAAAAGAGAGAAAACATAAAAGGAAATGAGCCGACATGAACGATTGCGTGTTAAATTAGTTTTTGAGGTGGCGACACCTGATTTGATAATGTTACTGTGGCCGTGCTCAGGACGCAGATGTCTGGAGCGCGTCAACAATCAGAGCTTTGCATGCACAAGCTGGTTAAGGTTAGGATGGGGGTGAGGGGAAGGTTAAATTGCAAGAGGGTAAACGTCACAATTTGGTTAAATGTCCGTTTTACGGCGGGTGTCGGTACCGACGCTCTGGCACAGCGCGTTGCCTCCCGACGCGCAGGAGCTTGTCACCTGCTGACAGCAGGCTGCTGTCTTTTCCGTGGACTGCATCTTGCCGGTCATTATCATGTGACAGCGACTAGTCGATGACAGGCATAACAAGTCACTATAGAGCGGTGAAGTCGACTAGTGACTAGTTCATACAACCCCTGCTACTGCTCCCCAGAGTGTTCTGCAGCATAATCAGCACGTTCTCTTTGAACTTGATATCAAATTTTCACCTCCTCTTCGTCTCCGCACGGTTAAAGTTACCCTCGCGGTCTATCACTGGCAAATCAAAAGTGAGACGGATGACACAACCGACCCCCATACTTGCTTGTTACCACATTCCACCCGGCCACAATAAAAAAAAACGGTCATTATTCACCTCCGCCGACTCCGACACCGGCCAAAATATGATACCCGGCCGTTAATTGAATACAGGCTAATATTAGAGGATTCACGGTATTATTTTACCCTCCATATAATTTTTATTTATTATTTATTTTCTGACTTTTATCATTTACATTAGGTCTTTTTTTTACTCATTTTAATCCAGTGTTTTCTCTGTGGGGACCCTCGGCCCTGGGGCGGTGGTCGACTGTTGTTGCCTGGGCGCTGTACAGGTTGTGTTTGAATGGAGGTGGGGGTCTATGCTATCCCTCCTCTGAGTGCACTGACTTGGTTGCAGTTTTTGACCTGATGCTGCCGGGGCAGATGGCTCCTCTGATGGTTTTTCCTTGCCTTATCTTACCTGACTCATCTGGACTCAGCCGAATATAATTTTTTTACTTATGTGATTCTGTGCGTGTGTGTGTGTGTGTGTGTGTGTGTGCGTGCGTGCGTGCGTGCGTGTGTGTGTGTGTGTGTGTGTGTGTGTGTGTGTGTGTGCACCTGCATATGACAGTTAATGCTTTTAAACTGTTATGGGACTTTGGGGTCATTTTAATTCTGTAAAGCACTTTGCCTGAAAAGCGCTTTATGAATAAAATCAGATTGATCGATTGATTGATTGATTGATTGATTGATTGATTGATTGATTGATTGATTGATTGATTGATTGACTCAGACTGGATTTAATTCCCATCTGCTAAACTCCTTTTATCACTCTGTGGTTGGCTCTGTTATCCACTCAGATGGTCTGTTGGGGTGCAGGCAGCTCTGACCAAGACAGGAAGAGACTGAACAAGCTAGTTCGGTTCTGAGCTGCCCACTGGATTCAGTTGAGGATATGTGTGAGAGGAGGAAGATGACCTCCATCTTAAAAAAAACTCCCACCCACTGCATTCCAGTGTGGAATATATACCCTTTAGTGCTCTGTGTTAGCCTGGAGATGGGGAACCTTCTGGTTGTGTTTTTACCTTCTTCAGCTCCCAGCTCACCAGCCTCCTGCTGATATCACACCTCCTGTCCTTGGTTTGGCTCCATGACGTGCTGCCATGCTGGATGTTACTTTAGTTGAGCCTTCAGACAGAAACTCAACAAGAGAAGCAGCTGTTAGTGTTTGTGTAGAGCATCCTTCTTCAGTTGAGTCTGTAGCAGAAAGAGCAGAGGAGAACTCAGCACATTACAGTCTATATGAGAACTATTAGAGAAACACTCATCTATTAATAACCCTAACTATTCACTAGTGCTACTGACAGATGATGTTAGATTTTACCTACAAATGAAAACTAGTCTTTAGTCAGAACACGTCTGTGCTGTTTCTGACCACAGATTACACACTAAACAGAAAACCTAGAGCTGCATTTAAACACAGATCTTTTTCTGTGTTTCTGTTCACCGTGTCATCCACATAAGAACTGGAGAAGTGTGACGTTCTTAAGCTCCTCCCACCAGGAGGGGGTGCAGCCGCTGCATGACTCTCCTCTCTAACACAGAGTGAAATTCTCCGACTCGCACACAGGAAAATAATGTCATCTATAAAACTGGAGCTAACATGTCAAGCTAACAGCATCTGAGAGTTTAAGACAGTCTCTAAGGTTGACAACAAGCTAGCCTAGCATTAGCAGCACGGTGCCAGTTAGCGGCGGTTCTTACAGCTCGTTTTTTCTTTCACTCAGCTAAGTTTTATTTCACATTTTACTTTTAATTCATCTAGAGCTCAACCAGTGTCAAATTAATATAGCGTAATATTGGTTTCGAATGGTAAAAAGTGCAGGGGTCAAAACTTGTCTTTGGAAAAAGTGGGGGGGGGAAACCCCCCCCCCCCCCCCCCCCCCCCAAAAAAAATTACGTCCATGGTGTTGACAAACTAGAATTTATTATCAAAACTGCTGATGTCTTTCCAAAATGTGGCCGAGTAGATTTGCAGTACTGTGATGTGTAGATTTGTAATGTGACATCATCGGCAGTCGAAGGACCCTGAGCCGATCCTGTACCGACACCGGCTTCCAGCAGCAGCGGGCTGCCCGTGGAGGTGCCTGACTTTAAATCGGCTCTACTAAAGAGGCTTATCGGCCGATGTCAATGATGAAGAAATGCAAAATATCGGCGTGATTCATTCGCCGACCAATAAAGCGGTCAACCCCTAATTTCAGCTGTCCAGTAATTATTTTGTACTGTTTTCAGAGATTTGGGCTTTCTGCTTTTTTCCCCACCTACTTTCTGTCTTCATTACACTTGTTAGTGATTTTTGCTCCTAAATCGTTAAATAAATTGAGTGAATTTTGAAAGTTACATGTTAGTTTCAGCTTCACTTCAGCTATTCTGCTACTTCAGCCATCAGTTTCAGAATTCAGCATTCAAACAGCATTTGTACAAGAAATGTGATTTATCTAGTTTACTTTGTTTGTGCTACTTTGTTTTCCTAGCTTCCTTCATTTACAACAGTTCTGCATGTGGTAACCATGCTGATGGAGTTGATTGTGCTGCTAGCTCTGTTTATCGACAACTAACAGATAAACACCACCGTGGTCAATGGGAGGTGCTGGCTTCTTGCCCTCCAGCCAGGGTCTAGGGGGTGGGGTTGTGGGTGCGCGACGTCACGCTTCGATGTGTCCACACACACACACACACACACACACACACACACACACACACACACACACACACACACATGAGCACTAAATGACTCAACAGAGACACTTGTATGGACAAGTGTGACTGAACTAAAATAACATAAAATGTTTCTGCTAATATTTTCTTTCCTCCTCATTATTGTTGTTGCTGATTTTCAGGCTATCTGCTGCACACTGGTGAACTGTAACTGTGACAGCTTCAAGCCCGGGAAGCTGAAGAGGCGGCAATGTGAGACCTGCAAGCATGGCTGGGTGTCCCACGGTAAGAGATTACTAATTCTAACAAAACCACAGGTTTATGAGAAAGCTAACTAACTAACTAACTAACTAACTAACTAACTAACTAACTAACTAACTAACTATAACAAACTAACTAACTTGTCTGAGTGTGTCGATTCTCCTTAAAGAGCAAGTCACCCCCCTACCAGAGTCTTACTTCACTCCCATTTCCTGTTTGAAAAATGCACCTGGCACACGGAGATGGTGAAGCCGCTAACGTATACACAGGCTCACAGTGGCATTGTGACATCATATGGTACCAGCTAACATCATAGGGTACCTCTTAGTGGTGTGGTGTGGCGGATCATATCACGGTTTTCTCTCACAGGTCGGATGGTTTTTCGATGGAACAGAAATGAAAAACAAATAGCTTCGCTCTGTCTCTACTTTGTAGAACACCTGGTGCAACCTTTTCTGCTCCATTTGCAACTTGCTGTAAAAGCAGGAGTTACAAAGGTCCGATTGCTGATTAAATGTTAGAATGGCTTTCCCTCCCTCCTGGAGGTGTGTGTGTGCAGGTGGTTTTTCAAGCTCCTCCTCCTCCTTCATGACCACTGCTGTGTTTTTCTCCTTTGGACTAAACAGGTAGCGCCTCCACGTGACCGATCCGCGAACCGTAGAGAGAGATCCGTACGGATCACTGATCAATGACGATCCGTCGCCTTATCTCTTAGCCAATAGCGGTGGTAGATTTAAATGCAGATGTAGAGCAGAGGTTTTACCTGAAGAGAGCGAAACACTGACCGAAAGATGCACTAAAGTCAAGTCAAGTTTATTATACAGCCCATGTCACACACACGGTAGCCCAGTGTGCATCACACAGCTAAACAAGCACAAGCTAAATGAAGTAGTTACATCATGTTGTGTAAAATCACATCCAAGAATAACGACACAGAGCATAGTACACAAAAATAAAAGCATATGAAGTCCAATGATTGACTTTAAAACAAAGATAAAACAGCCCATAATAGGCATACATGTAAAGTACACATAGAATAAATGAACGCAGCACAGATCAACTACTTGTTAAGAACAAATCTCTCTCTCTCTCTCTCTCTCTCTCTCTCTCTCTCTCTTAAAAACAAATATATATAATGTTTTTAGATGTTCAGGGGAAAATGAAAACCTTCTGCAAATTAGCTTGTGATGTCATCTAGCAACATCTGGGTGTCTTTCTGGGTAAACTTGAACTCCTTTCGGTCAGCACTGCCTTCATCCTTTAGTCGTGTGGTACCTTCAACAGGTCAGACTGGTAGAGTTTGACATTATTCCACATCTGGAAGTCATTATGAATCATATGTACAGAACAAAAGGATGGTTTTGATTGTAATTTCTATGGAAACAGCTGTTTTTGTTCTCTGTGTGATGAATGTTCACAGAACAATTTAGGATCACAGGTGTGTGTGTGTGTGTGTGTGTGTGTGTGTGTGTGTGTGTGTGTGAGAGTGTGTGTGTGTGTGTGTGTGTGTGTGTGTGTGTGAGTGTGTGTGTGTGTGTGTGTGAGTGTGTGTGTGTGTGTGTGTGTGTGTGTGTGTGTGCATGTGCGTGTGTGTGCGCGTGCGTGTGTGCGTGTGTGTGTGTGTGTGTGAGAGTGTGTGTGTGTGTGTGTGTGTGTGTGTGTGTGTGTGTGTGTGTGTGAGTGTGTGTGTGTGTGTGTGTGTGTGTGTGTGTGTGTGTGTGTGTGTGTGTGTGAGTGTGTGTGTGTGTGTGTGTGTGTGTGTGTGTGTGTGTGTGTGTGTGTGTGTGTGTGAACCTTTCCTAGTGCTCCCTCTCATCCTGTGAAATGTTTCTTCATCCTGTTGGTAGCACATCTAATCAAATGTGGCCCGTCTATTCTAGCCCTGAGTAAGCTGAAGGTGCACCACAAGTTCCAGAGCAGCCAGGTGGAAATCGTGCATTCCAATGTAGTCTTCGACATCTGCAGCCTGATGCTCTATGGCACCCAAGCCATCCCGGTCCGCCTCAAGATCCTCCTGGACCGCCTTTTCTCTGTCCTGAAGCAGGAGGAGGTGATCCAGATTCTCAGTGCTTTGGACTGGACGCTGCAGGACTACATACGAGGATATGTGCTCCAGGTTAGTCTCTTCCTTGTTCACATGTCAGACTTTGGAGATATTCTTATCATCCATCCATCCTTTTTCATCCGCTTATCTGGGGTTGGGTTGTGGGGACAGGAGCCTTAGTAGAGAGACCCAGACTTCCCTCTCCCCAGCACTTGGGCCGACTCTTGTGGGGGGATCCCAAGGTGTTCCCTGGCCAGCTGAGAGGCATACTCGAGAGCTTTGCTATCCGGCTCAGCTCTTTCTTCAACCCGACAGACCGGTACCAGCTCTCATACGTGTAGACGCAGCACCAATCTGCCTGTCAATGTCCTCACGCATGAACAAGACCTCGAGATAATGAAACGTCTCCGCTTGGGGCAGGACCTTAACTCTGACCTGAAGAAGGCATTCTACCCTTTTCCATGGTGTCAGATTTAGAGGAGCTGATTCTCAACCCAGCCGCTTCACACTCGGCTTTGAACAGCTTTGGCTGGAGAAAGCAGTCTGATTAATGGGCTCGACACACGGGAGGCGACCCGCGGCAGCGGCCAGCGGCAAAGCCGTCGACGCGTTCTGTTCCATGGCGAAATGGAAACTTCCGTTGTTTTGATTGGCTGTGTCAGGTTGGAGGGAATTAAGGTTATTTAAGCGGTTCAGAGTTAATAAAGCGGTAGATATGATGTTTCACAAGGTGCTGCTAGAGTTATGTGAAATCTTACTTCTGATTTTACTATAAAACATAATAATAATCAACTTCTCCTCCATGTTTGCTCGGAGGTGTACGGAGCATCCTGTCCGCTCATTGGTCAGTGAATGAAACCTGCGCTGATTGGTCCTCGTCCGAGCGACAGCGATGAAAAGTTGAAAATGTTTCAACTTTCTGGGATCGCGTCGCTGGGTCGTCCGTGCACGACACGTGCACGAGCGCAACATTTCATACGCACGTTTTTTGCGTTTCCCCTGGTAGAAGGGAGACCCGCGATTATCGCTTTGTCACGCATGTCTCAATGAAAATGAACGGAGGAGAGGAGATGTCCCCTCCTGTGTGTCGAGCCCATGAGTCAACAGGACCACATCATTTGCAAAAAGCAGTGATCTGATCCTTAAACCACCCAAAGGGTTCCCCTCAACACCTTGGCTGCATGTAGAAATCCTGTCCATAAAAGTTATGAAGTCCAGCTCTTACCGGGAATGAGCCCGACATACTGCCAGCAATGCAGCACGATAAGTCTCTGAACTCTGCTTCCTCGCTGAAAGGCGTGACGGTGGGATAGAGGAGGTCTGAGTCGAGGTCAGCAGCACACCATCCCCACTATAAACAGTGTGGGCAGTACACGGCTGTCCATCCCTGAGGCATCAGATGTTTGACCAGAATGTCCTCAAAGCCACACAGAAGTCCTGCTCCATGGTCTCCGGACTGCCGGTACCAATCAGCTGCCTCTGGAGTCCTAATAACCACAGAGAAAGAAAACAAACTTTTCTATAGCTTCTCTCAATAAAAATCACGAGGCGCTTCACAGAAACTAATGAATTAACCCTCTGGAGGCAGGCGTTACAGATTAGCAACGGTAAAACCTGCCTACCTGGTTACTCCACGTACGTGTTTCATGAGCATTTTTTCACTCAGAAGTTCCCCTGAAGGACTCAGTTGTTCATCCTTTTATCAAAACTTATTTTGAGCCCGAGAGGGTTAAACTCACCCACAATCACCAGTCTGGACAGCTTCACAGTGGAGGATAGAAAGTCACTAAACTCCTGAAGGAAAGAACTGTTTGGACCAGGTGGACGATAGACCACGGCACAGTAGAGCGGGTCCTTACGCCCGACTGAAGGTTGTAGAGCTCAGTGATGCCAGTAACGCGTTACTCTAATATAACGTCATTTCTTGGTAACGACTAATCTATCGCGTCACTATTTCCACACTAGTAATCAAGTTAAAGTTACTTGTCAGCCATATTAGGTTATTTCATCCTTTACTCTGAATTATTTCTGCTTAAGGAAATCCTGAGTGAAGGAAGTAAATCATGGCGGAGCAGGAGCCAATGTCAGCTTTGCATAATCAATTTGACCAATCAACGCGCACTTTCCTTGCACGAGGGAAGCAGTGTATTGCTTCACCAAACAATAGAACGGCACCACGATGCCATTTGTTGGAATATAACTCTCAGTCGTGGTGCAAAGTTGAAACCAACAAAAAAAGCACAGTCGTGTTACTGAATGAATGACTAAAAACATCAAACACAACCCTGCAATACAACCCCGACAAAACGCACAATAAAGAACATAACACTGGAAAGCTGGCTACCCATAATGCACTCTGGAGTCGCGTGCGGCTCTTTCATCCATCTGATGCAGATCTCCGCTTGTAAAATAATTAATGAATATTTAATTAAAATATATTTTATTTTACTGCATTCATTTTTATCTGTATGCCAATTCTAAATGTAAAGATGTTCTGCGTGAACCTGAACAGGTCCAGGTCCTGACAGGTCACCTGCGTGTGCATAATCAGACGTCTCTATAGGAGCTGTCTGAGCTGAAGAGGATGTGAGATTCTGGACTTTTCCTCAGACGGATCACGGAGGCGTCGCCACGTTAACACACATTTCTTTTAACAACGGTAGTTTTTGCATCTTTACTACCTGCTTCAGCCCTCTCCCCCTCCCTCTGCTGATGCGCCTGCAGCCTCTCGGAGTTCCTGCTGCTCTAAAGATTAAAATAATTATTACATTTTCTGTTCCTCACTTCTGATTACCTTCAATGGTGTCTGTTTGTTGCAACCAGCAGGTACAAAAACTAACTTGTTTTTATTTGACTATTTTTCTGTCCTGCCTGTTTATTATCTTCCTGCATCTCCTCTCAGTCCTAAAGAGAAACTGCTACCTGGGTTCATATATATTCACCTCATGAGTTACCTTTGAACTGCAGTCAAACCACAAAAATAGCGGAGTGCGCGCCGGCTGCACCGGTGAGGTGAAGTCACCGGAGGACGAAACAGGTGATGCGCTCCGCTCTGCAGCAGCAAAACACACCAGGCACAAATAAAAGACAGAAAACATAAAAGCTCATGAGCCGACATGAACGAAAAATTTCTTTTTGAGGTGGCGACGCTTTGATAATGTTACTGTGGCCGCGCTCAGGGCACATCTGTCTGGAGCGCGTCAACCATCAGAGCTCTGCGCCTCTCAGCTCTAAATAATCCCAGCAGAGTCCACATAGATAATGTAATATAAATAGAACCACGGTCGTTTACGGGCTAAAAAATAGTCTACAGACCATCTTCCCTAATGTGTTTGTGGCCCTGCAGATTTTTCTAACTCTACCTGCACTTCTTATATGTACCTCTCACCATAGGACTCTTTCATAAGGGCACTGCACCGTCAGCTATGTCAGCCCAGACAAGAGCAGAGCAACTAGAGAAAGAATAGAGGATAATTGTGTCTGGATGTGGATGGAGATTACATTTTACAGCAGCCTGATCATCATTTAAACACGTAACCCATCACCTGGCTTCTAGTCCATGCTATCAGCATTATTTTAATTGGTGTGTGTGTGTGTGTGTGTGTGTGTGTGTGTGTGTCTTCCACATCAAACACTGGTTTAACCAACCAGACCAGGTTGTACGTTCACCTTGGAAGTTGGGTGCGGGAGGGGGAAGTGTAATTTTTAATTGTTTTATACTTGGGGAGGGGGGCTGGGATGGGAGTATGGGATCTATGGGGCCATTTTAATCTGTGAGGCACATTGAGTTGCATTTTTTTGTATGAAAAGTGTTGTATAAATAAAGTTGATTTGATTTGATTTGTAGCTGAGGACCTGACCACCAATTTCCCCACCTTCTTCTAGTCCCTCCCACAAGTAGTGAGCCCGTTGGAGCGGGGACCCGTCACCTCTTGGGGCTGTGCCTGGCCGGGCTCCATGGGTAAAAGCCCGGTCACCATATATATTCTTAAATCATTTCCCATTTAGGTCTAAACAAGTCGCTGCTTTGGGAAGCATACGCCAAAAGTTCAGTTAGGTGATAAAACATAATCAAACATTTCCTACACCCAGTTTGGATTCCAGTTTACTCCGAAGATTCACGCATGTCTTTAAGCAGCAACATGAAGTAGTCATAAGAAAATTAAACTATGAAAATGAATGTGGGATGTGCCGTGTTCTTACTGGATGGGAGCTGCTGCTGCTCTTTGGGTTCTGTGTGTGACGTCTGAAATCCACCTGCTGAAAGCTGGAATGTCTAAAACAGGATTAACCTCTGGTTAGCAGCTAGGAGAGAGACCAGACAACTGCTGAGGGGGAAGAGGGAAGCTTTTGAAGCATGTTAAAGTACCGATGCGAGGATCAGATGCAGCCAGCTTGTTGCTGTGGCACCATCAGCTCAGGGAGGTCTCCCGACTCGGCTGGGTACATGTGTAAATATTATGTCTTTTGCTCCAGATCTCTACTGGAACCGGTGCCAAGCTAGTTGAGGCCCAGGCTGGAGGGACTGAGTCAATACAAGATCTCACTTAGAATGGTGCATTCCTAAGTGTTCACGTTTGATTCGTGTTATCTCAGAATCCTCCACAGACACCAGCAAATGCTGTGTGATAAAACATTAATCCTGGTTGTGGCCCAGAGCCGCTGCTCGCTTCCAAAGACCCACATCCTCCCGTGTTAGTGGCGGGCAGAGCCAGAAGCTGCTTCCCTGTGTGCGTGTGCGGTTTGCTGAACACGTCCTTGTGCCTGCGTTGTGAGAGGCGTACGCACACGTGTGATGCACTCTCGCTGTTTGTTTTCTGCCAAGCCAACAGATCCACACTACTGAAACATGACTGATTCCTTTATTCAGCTAACAATCTGCATGTGAAGTGTGTCGTATAGCCCGCTGTGTGAATATTTGTGTAGAAGTCAGTGTAAGCTGGTATTGCTGATGGCAGAACTTACTGCACGGTCTCTTATCTGCTCTGCATTCTTTCTTCTTCTGCACTGTTTATAGGATGTTGCGGGGAAGGTGCTGGACCGCTGGGCTATCATGACCTTTGAGGAGGAGATTGCTACGCTGCAGCAGTTCCTGCGTTTCGGTGAAACCAAATCCATAGTGGAGCTTATGGCTCTACAGGACAAGGAGGGCCAGGTGGTGCTGGTTCCCAACACCCTCACCAACTCAGACATCCGAAACTTCATTGAGCGTAACACACCTCGCTCGGCTGCCAACCTCTGTACATCCAAAGCTGAAAACATGAGCGGCGGTAGCATGCACCACTTTGAGAACTTCATCAACAGCATGGCCTTTATGCTTCCATTTCAGCTGTTGGGCTCTGCGCCTGCTCCGTTTCTAGGATCACCGCTGCAACAGCAACACCAGCCATGTGGTGTCTCACTGGAGCAGCAGGGTCAGAGGAGGGACGATCAAGGAAGAGACAACGCCTTCCCTCTTTTACATCCTTCACTAAACAGCTTTGTAGGTTCCAGCTCCATCCCATGCTCTACCGATTTAGATCACAGTGGAGGAAATCCAGTAGACAGCCTCTCCACCACTGCAAAGATTGAGGCTGAAGATTTCTCTATCAGTGACAATTATTCAGATAGATCCTCCACACCTTGTACTCCATCACTGAACTCGGATGTCCCACAAATGTCCCCTGATGGAAAGCTGCACTCTCTGGACAGGAGTGGAAGCAGCAGTGGAAGCGTCTCTGGGGGTGCAGGCTCTCTGAAAAAGGGACGTGTGTTTTGCAGTGCTTGTGAGAAGACATTTTATGATAAAGGCACACTAAAAATCCACTATAATGCAGTGCACCTAAAAATTAAGCATAAGTGTACCATTGAGGGCTGCAACATGGTGTTCAGCTCACTGCGAAGTCGCAATCGTCACAGTGCCAACCCAAATCCACGGTTGCACATGCCCATGAACCGCAACAATCGAGACAAAGACCTGAGAAGCAGCCTGTCTGCTGATGAGAGTTCCCAGGGTGAGAAGAAGACTGAATACGGCAATCCAATTTCCATTTGCTCCGCAGAAAGTCAGAGGCCAGTGTCCAGCTATGTGGTGAGCCATGTCGACAGTGGACCTAAGCTCCACGGCAGCTCATTCCCCAGCTCTGGCCAGAGTGGAGTCCTCTTCTCTAACCTAAAGACGGTACAACCAGTCCTGCCTTTCTACCGAAGCCTGGTTACACCGGCAGAACTTGCCAACACCCCAGGCACACTACCATCTCTTCCAATTTTGTCTTCTTCTGTACCCATTAAAGCCATCGCCGAACCCAAATCCTGCGTGACAGATCTCATACCAAAGAAGAAGTCTCGTAAATCAAGTATGCCAATAAAGATAGAGAAAGACACGATAGCTCACGCTGACCAGATAGAAAAGACAAGCAGTTCAGAGGAGGAGCTTCCTTTTCAGGCCAGCGACATGAACTATGAAAGTAGCCAAGCTGTGGAGCACAGGTGTACAAGACAACCTGGGCAACAGAAGGACGCAAGAGACGCTTATGTTGGCAAAGAAAAGGAAGGCGAGGGTATCAAAAATTCAATAAACCACACATTTGACCGACACTTAGCAGACAATGAACAAAAAAAAGAAGAAGGGTCGAGACCAGCTAAAACCGTGGTCATCGACCGTACGTCCTCACCATCAGAAAACAGCCCACTGGACAAGCAGAACAACAGCTCACTTTGTCAGGAACCCAGTGACAGTGAAGACAGGGAAACCAGGGAACACACACACTCCTTGAACTTGTGTGACAAGAGGTCAGAGGTGACAACGAATGAAGGCGGATACAAGGTAACTAATGGAGGATCCCCCCAGCCTACCGAGAGGGGAGGACTCGATGATTCAGGGTTGTCTCACTTTGACTCAAACCTTTCACCCCCCTGTGAGGTCTGCAGTAAGCCCTTTAAAAACCCCTTCAGCATCAGGATGCACTACCAAGACGTACACTTGAAGGAGATGCACATGTGCACAGTAGACGGATGCAACGCCACATTTCCATCCCGCCGAAGCCGAGACAGGTGAGAAGTCATGTTTTCTTCTTGTCCTACAAAGGGTGGTCAGGTTTGTGTCATCTAAAATTTAAGGGGACACGGTGTTCTCCCGCATCCTGCAAAAACCTGGAAAATGACAGACCAATTTTCCAGTCATGGAAAACACGTGGACATGGGAAAATAAAGTAAAATGTTGTCCTGGAAAATCGTTTTCCGTCCTTGTGGATGAATGCAGCCCGGTTTAACGCAGGAATGTCTGTTTTCAGCTGCCTTCAACATATTGGGCTGCAGCACTTGTCTGCTTTCTTTTCGGCATCTAGCCGGCACAGTGTCCCACTTGATGCTACCGACCAATCAAATACGCGTATTCCCTTACAACAGTTCTCTGAAGAAGGGCCAAAACTAGCGACTTTCAGTTCAAGGCTGTTGCCGTATCGCAGTCTGTTGAGTGAGAGGGTTTTTTCTCCCTCTCTTTGTTGAGTGGCAGAGGAGTGATGGGGTCGGGGTTAGCTGTGGGCGTCTCGTCACTAGAAAAAAATAGGTGCCAGTACTCCCCTTAGAAAATATCTGGGGCTGAGGCCCTCCCCGTTGCAACGTGACCATCACTGGGGTCATTTAGATTTACAACTTCGTAGGCACAGATTAAATGGACAGCTTCTTTCGACAATGGATGAAACCTTTTGCAGATGCAGACATCTCCTCTTTCTTGATCTACAGTCATGAATGAGGTCATTTGATGCTGCGTTACTTCTGAGCTGAGCATATGACAGCTAGGCTGTTCAGGTGCTCTTCAAACAAAATTCACTTTATTTTTTCCGTTAAGAACTTTGTTTGCAGGTAAAATGTCCGCACAGCCAATAAAATCCATATAAAAAACACACATACAATCCATTAAAGGGAATACACCCAAGTGCATACAACTGATTATAAAGAATACTAAAGTACGTACACGTATGTCTAATCCCCAGTCCCTCGGGCTGTGGCGAGCTGCCTGGAGGACCTGAACCGAAGACCTGATGGTGACTTGGCGTGATAGGGTTAGTGGAGGCAAACTAGGCAGTGACGTTGAATGTGAGGATCGATTCAATCAAACGTCTGTAAAAATCAGCAAGAATGCTGTTGCTTGGAAATGTCTCTGTTCCACAGAACAGCGGGGCGGTGTGGAGTTGCAGCCCACACCGGGCAAGCGTAGGGTGGCGACATGTCCGTTTTAAAACAGAGGACAAAGGATCTGTGCCCACCATTGACAGCACATTGTGGCAGCACCACAGAAACCCTGTTAGGGCCCATGTTGGGCCCAATCTCATCTCACGGAAATAAGACGATTGAGTCCCAGACTCTGTGGAGTTTTCCTTTCAGAGAATCTTTAGAAAGTGGCTTTTAGAAAGGTTTTGTTACTGGCAGATGTTTGAGATTTTAGAAAAGAATTAGACGAGGCAGCACGTCCAGCAAGTTTGTTTCTGGTTTTACAATATCACAATAATGATGTCGGGAATGTCTGAGAGGTCGGGACAAACATCATACACCTAACACTCCTGGACGGGGGTGGGGCGGGGTGGGTGGGGCTGTATTGTGGACTGTATAAGGTACACCTGTGCACTACTCATGGTGTCAGGTCAGCATCTTGATGTGGCACACCTGTGAGGTGGGATGGATTATCTCAGCAAAGCAGAAGTGCTCACTATCACACATTTAGACTGATTTGTGAACAATGTTTGAGAGGAATGGTGATATCGTGTATCTGGAATGAATTTTAGATCTTTAAGGCCCTCTCATGAAATATCAGAGCAGAAACAAAGGTGTTGCGTTTATATTTCTGTTGAGTGTGTGTGTATTACTGTTCCCCTGCTTCAACCCTACCAACTCTACACACACACACACACACACACACACACACACACACACACACACACACACACATCCTACTCTGTATCATCACTGCATTATTTTAAATAGTTTTTGCAAGAATTTAATTGTTCTTGAGTAAAATAAAGAAAAAGGCTAAACCGTCACCCTGAGTTCATGCACACAGGTATGGAGCGCATACCGCTCACAACTGAACTGGCTCCAGTATTAAGTGTTGATTTGCACAAACAAGGTGCTTTTAAATCCCGGAGCTGCAGTTCTCCGGTTGTATGAGCAGAGCGTGCCAGGACTCAGCTTGCAATGATGAGTGTGCATGTTTTTGCCACTGCAGTAATGGTGAGTTGTTGTGGAAATGTATTTTAAAGCTGGTCCAGCTACCCAACAGAGCAGAATACTGATGTAACACCGGTCCGCAAAGGTGCGGGTTTCAGTGAGGAAAAAAGAAGAGGAGGCAATCTTTTATTTAGCGCGTCTCAAGATAAAAGTCACAGGGTGCTAAGGAGCAGGAGAGGGAGGAGGAGAGAGGCTAAACAACGAGTGCGTCAGAGGGTCCAGACCGTTTCAGAGCAAAACTGTGTGGCTGTTTGACGTTGTCGTCATATAAAGTGTTCACCCGCATCCCACTCGGGTGAGAAGCGACGCACATGCAGGTGCCCATGTTCCCACGCCAACAAGTGCAATATTTTTAATTATTTAGGCCTAAAGTTACGTATATTTGTACTCAGTAACAGCCACGATTGAAAACGTTGCACAGTACAACACTTAATAAAACGTGCTGAATTGCAGACATTATGCCGTTACACTGCTCATAACATAGGTACCAACACAGCATAGGCTGTTGTACATGAAATAACATCTGTGGTGCACACTGAGCATCAAAGTTAAAAGTGCCCATTGGATGTGTTGTCTTTTTGGTTGCTAGATGGGAGCTGTTGATGAGGGTCTGGAGAGGTGAACAGTGTGAAACTAGTGGAAAAAATGATTTATCTGTAGTTCGATGTTGGGTCCTTGTACCCGAACAGGACCTGGGCAAAGTGTTCATAATGTCTTCATCATTTGGAATAGCTGCAACGAGATTGCTAAGTTGTATGAGGCCATCTGCTTGCACATCCACTAGCTACGAATCTATCCAGATCCAGTTTTATTTTGACTTCCATTCCACACATTCAGACTTTATATAACATACAAAGTTTAGTTCAGGCCAAAAGTCCGGCCACACCTTCTCAGTCTTTATCTTCATGACCATTTACATCGGGAGATTCTCACTGAAGGCATCAAACTATGAATGAACACATGAGGAGTTGTGTACTTAACCAAAAAAGGTGAAATAACTGAAAACATGTTTTATATTCTATTTTCTTCTAAATAGCCTTTACTCTGATTACTGCTTTGCACACTCTTGGTATTCTCTTGATGAGCTTAAAGAGGTAGTCGCCTGAAATGGTTTTCCAGCAGTCTGGCAGGACTACCTTATATAAGCGGTAACTTACTGAGTAGCTGCTTCACGGGGAGCAAATACAACAGAAAAAGGATTTATCCCAGAGAGGTGGACAACTTCCAGTAATGCCATGATCAACAGTATCACATGCAGCACAAAGATCCAACAGGAAGGGACCTGTAAACTTAGCAGCGTCAGCAGCCTCAGAGGGTCACTGGACTCGCTCAACAGAGCTGTTTCTGTGACGTGATTTTTACGGATGCCTGACTGACAGTCATCTAGGATTGAGTTGCTCTCCAGAAAGTAATTTAAGCCACAATTGTTCCCAAGAATTAAGAAAAGAAAATTAGCTGCTGTGCAGGTCATACACATTTTTATTTGAGGTGTTGAAGGTGCCATATCCTGACAAAATCAAATTTTGGAGCTTTTTCCATGTGATAATGTTATTTCCTCATGAAAAATATCTCCAAAATCGTTTTTGACTGCATTCATGCATTTTCCTGTCCTAGAGGAGCCTCAGCACGGCTATGGCTACTTCTGTCTCTGCTTCTCCGTCTCCTATCTCTTGCTCTCTGTGTCAGATGTTTAGTTACTCCTCTGCCTCCTTTAGTGATAATGGTACGTGTAATAAATGTAGCATTTTTGTAGCTTTGGAGGCGAGGGTGTCGGAATTGGAGGCCCGGCTCCGCGCTGTTGAAAAACCTGTAAACAGCCGTGGCTACTTAGCTACCGTGGGGCTAACTAGCTCAGAACCACCCCTTAGTGGTCCTCCAGTAGAACCCGAGCAACCGGGACCTCAGGCCGGCTGGGTGACGGTACGTAGGAAGCATGAACCCAGCTCGTGGGACACCACCCACCCGCTCAGTGACGCACCCACTGACAAGCCGACTCTGATCATTGGCAGCTCCATAGTCAGAAACGTGGCATTAGAGACCCCAGCAACCATAGTTAAATGTTTACCTGGGGCCAGAGCGGGTGACATTAAATCTTATCTGAAACTGCTGGCTAAGGATAAGCGTAAATACAGTAAGATTGTTATTCACGCTGGCGGTAACGACACCCGGTTACGCCAATCGGAGGTCACTAACATTAATGTTGCTTCGGTGTGTAAGTTTGCCAAAACAATGCAAACTGCAAATTATTTATGTCTCTAAAAGTTCTTTGAATTTGGTCGTTCCTAAACAGCATTTTAGTTGAAACTCTGCTCACAAATGGACTCACACTGGCTAAATAAACAAACAAATAAACAAACAAATACTTTAGTCATTATATTTTAAACTGTATACCAATAAATGATTGTAAATTTAGTAGGAAGAAAAAAGTTAATGCCGCTACTGGGAGGCGAACCTGCGCAAAACTGCATGCCAATCTGACTCCATAACCACTTCACAACTACATTTTTATTTTTATTTAAAAAAAATGTAGTGGTGACTACATCTGATGTCAAGCAAGTGGCGTCATATGTGATTGTGCCATCCAGTGTATCTTTGTAGATGGGATGTATGGTTTTTCCGGCGGTGTCTCAGTAGAAGTCATTTCAGAAATAATTTCTCAGAAAATTCACAGAATATCCAGATTGGAGAACCAAGACCAGACCCGCTTCAGGGGGAGGAGACCAAATGGAAGCTGAGATGGGAGGAAAATGCGTGAATGAGGCCAAAAATGGCTTTGGCATGCTTCTTATGAGGAAATGACAATACAGTAAAACATGGTAAAACGTTCC